AAACAGCAAATGCTCAATAAATGTTAGCTGTTATCATAGTCATTATCATTATCATAGCAGTCAAATATCTTAAAATTTACCTAACCATAGCTTTCTAACTTACCAATAACTACACTCTATCAAACTCTCAAATTCTTAGCTGTTCACATACATGCTCTATACTTTTCCACCATCACTGTCCCCTCTACCTAGAATGCCCTCTCTCCTTTCTCATCCTTTAGACCCAGCTGAAAAATGTACCTTCAATGTCTGTCTGATCCAGTGGTTCTCAACCTGTGGGTCGCGACCTCTTTGGCAGTCAAACGACCCTTTCACAGGGGTCCCCTAAGACCATCCTGCATATCAGATATTTACATTACGATTCATAACAGTAGCAACATTACAGTTATGAAGTAGCAACGAAAATAATTTTATGGTTGGGTCACAACATGAGGAACTGTATTTAAAGGGCCAGAAGGTTGAGAACCACTGGTCTGATCTCTTTGACTAAGTATATGTCCATTCTGAACTCCCTTAACACTCTATCTGTATTTCTTTGATGGGACCTAACACTTTCTCATATTGATTATTATGCATGTCTTATTTTCCCAGCTATAGTGTAAGGTTGTGGACAGTAGGATCCAGGGATTTTCCAACAATGTGTCGAGCAGACTAGCATCAGACTTCTCAAAAGTACCTGTAAGCTAAAAGGTATTGCTTTCTAAATTCTAATTTTAAACCTAGGATTCTATCTCCTGCCAAATCAAACAAATGTGAAAGTAAAATACAAAGACTCTCAGGCTTGAAAGAATTTTAAAAACTAAATCCAGTGCATCCTTTCTTAAAAGTTATTAGATATGATTCAACAATGAACAAAGTAACAGAAGCCCAAAAAGCAAGAGACCCAGGAAATATTAATTAAATACAGATGAGGGATGAAGACCAGTCCCCAGATGACAACTGTGTAGCAGGACTAAAAAAACTCCCAGTTCAACTGAAGATCTCCATGAGAAAGAGGGGAGGAGAGGAGGGAACCAATAGATGGGTATGGACAAGTGGAAATAATGACAGTCATAGAACAGATTTCAAATACCCTGTGAAAAAAATCAAACACAAGTTTACATAAAAGCCCAATAAGCAAATAAAAAAATTACAAATTCAAGGGGAAAACCAGTTGCATAAGAAAGAAAATATAATCAGAGTATATCATTTGACCTATGCAGTGACAATACTGTCATAGTAATGTAAATTTTTACTAGTAATTGGCCAAAAATTGTGAAATAACCATATTTTGAAAAAAATGGAGGGGAATTTAGGGTAAAAGGAGATGGTAAGCTCCTTGACTACCATAATAGGAAATCCTAGGTACTGCCTTACATTAAAAACATAGATAGTGGCAGAAGGTTAACATTCCTAAAATGATGGTTCCCTCTAAAGAGTGAGTCTAAAGGATAGAGAAGGGTGAAACTGGGGACTAAGATTTTTCATCAGAAGTCTTTTTGGCAAAACTATCTGATTATAAAGTGTGTTTTATATTACTTTGATAAACTTAACATTTTAAATATAGAATCCACAGCATTTGAGAATTCTTTGACCTCGCTAGAAATTTAATCTTTTCTTTTACTTTATAATAGCCCTTCAGAGAAAATAAACTCTCTCCAATGAAGTAAAAAGAAGAAAAATATCAAGGAGTTTATTTTTACAATTACACAAATTCTCTAGAAATAAACTCATAGTTATATTTCAATGTCCTTTTTCCCCACATGATAGTGGACTACGTTCTATTTTACCAAATAAAACAATTAAGTAAAAACACTTTTTTAGAGCAGATTAGCACGAGCACTTTGTTTTCATTTTTATCAACTGCTGCTTAGAACTGACTCATTTTCTCTTATTATCTGAGTCTCTATAGATGTGTAATGGTGCTTTTGTGCTTTTAAAATCTAAAGGTAATTGGGAAATAATAAGTCTGAAAAATAAACTATAGTATTTAAGTAATAACTATTAATTAATAATGGTGAAATGCAAAGCATCTGAAGGGCCAAGGTTGTCTTTTATCATCACATGAATAATAATATATAAAGATGTGACCCATATTCATATACATACTAGAAAAAAATATATACATGCAATCAAGATAATTAAATATATTTCTTAACACTGAAGGAAAAATAATCTCTAGCAATGTATTTCCCCAATTCTAAACTCATCTCTTTTATCTACTCAGAACATTTTTCTGACAAATCTAATATAATAATGATAAAACTGAGTTTCACTTTCTGAATTTCAGTTCTATCCCAACAAAACCTAAGTTTTATCATCCAAGAAGCTATAATGTAATAATTATATATTATATAAGCCTCATAGTTCTGTTTATACAAGCTTAATACTAAAGATATTTATCCCCTATATAGTCATACCAAATCATCCTTAATAGCCTCTCTGCCAGACCCAAATATGTGTTTCCTAAGCACTAAAGACCCAGGAGTAAAAATCTCATAGACACTCAATACAAAATATTTAGCAGGTATCATTTTGTCAATTAAGCTGTCAACTGCTAAAATAAGAAAGACTATACCATATTTTTCTTACAGGTCTCTGGAAACACAAATACTTTTTAAGCAATCTCTCATTTCCATAAAAAAAAGAAGACTATGGTTTCTTTCTCAAAGGAGAAAATATAATTATAATAGAGGCCCAGTGCACAAAAATTTGTGCACTCAGGGGGTCCCTCAGCCCAGCCTGTGCCCTCTCGCAGTCTGGGACCCCTTGGGGGATGTCCACCTGCTGGCATAGGCCTGCTCCCTGGGGGACCGGGCCTAAGCTGGCAGTCAGACATCCCTCTGGAAGCCCGGGAGCCCTTGGGGGATGTCCACTTGTCAGCAGGGAGCAGACCTAAGCTGCAGTCAGACATCCTTAGCGCTGCTGAGGAGGTGGGAGAGGCTCCTGCCACCACCACTGTGCTGGCAGCCGTCAGCCTGGCTTGTGGCTGAGCAGAGCTCCCCTGTGGGAGTGCACTGACCACCAGGGGGCAGCTCCTGCATTGAGTGTCAGCCCCCTGGTAGTCAGTGTGTGTCATAGGGACCGGTCATTCCCAGTCGTTCTGCTATTAGGGTCAATTTGCATATTACCCTTTTATTATGTAGGAGGAGGATAGAGGCCTGGTGCACAGATGGAGGCTAGCTGGTTTGCCCTGAAGGGTGTCCCGGATCAGGGTGGGGGTCCCACTGGGGTGCCTGGCCAGCCTGGGTGAGGGGCTGAGGGCTGTTTTCAGGGTGGCCACGCCCCCTGGCGACCCAAGCTCCCAGCCTCTCCTTTTATTCTTTTTTTTTCCCAGGGCGGCCTGGAAGCAGGTATCTGGGATTTATCTATCTTCTATAATTGAAACTTTGTAGCCTTGAGCAGAGCCCAGGACCGGCCAGGGCAGGCGGGAAGCTTGGCTTCCTCCATCGCCGAGGGCAACCCAAGCCTCCTGCTCACTCCAGCTCCGTGGCCACGGCCATCTTAGTTGTGTTAATTTGCATACTGCCTCCTGATTGGCTGGTGGCATGGCTTGTGGGTGTAGTGGAGTGATGGTAAATTTGCATCTTTCTTTTATTAGTGTAGATATTATAAATTATGTTATATCAATATATTTACGTATATGTCAATGTACATATGTACCCAGAAAATATATTTAATCTGAACTGTATCAAAAAAAAATTAAATTCTAATGCTATTCAAGTCTTTCTCCTCATTTTTTATAACACTATTTCCACATATACTAATTAACTAAAACTGAGTAAAAAATAATCACACTGCCCTAGCCAGCTTGGCTTAGTGGATAGAGCATTGGCCTGCCGACTTAAGGGTCCCAGGTTCGATTCTGGCCAAGGGCACATGCCTGGGTTGCGGGTTCGTTCCCCAGTAGTGGGTGTGAGGAGGCAGCCAATCAATGATTCTCTCTTATCATTGATGTTTCTATCCCTCTCTCCTTCTCTCTTCCTCTCTGAAATCAATAAAGAAATATATTTAAAAAAAAAAAAAAAAGAATAATCACACTGAATCGTCATAATACAAAACCATTCCCACCTTGCTTTATATGGCACATAAATGTAATAGAAGTACAGAAAACTGTCATTAAAATACAGATTCTTAAGCTTAGCAGAAATACAAAATATGCTTACGTATAAAAAAGAAAGGGAAAACATTTTTAGGCTTTTTTATTTCTTCCATTAAGATTGCCTCTATATTTTAAGTATTTTAGTAATTTTGTGTAAAAGAATCAATAATTCTGTATAAAAGAAAACCCTTAAGGCAAAAAGAATTAGAATCACTGATTAAAAAATTTTTTAAATTTATTTTTATTTTTTATTGATTTCAGAGCGGAAGGGAGAGGGAGAGGGGGAGGGGAGGGGGAGGGGGAGGGGGAGGGGGAGGGGGAGGGGGAGGGGGAGGGGGAGGGGGGGGGGGAGGGGGAGGGGGAGGGGGGGGGAGAGGGAGAGGGGGAGGGGGAGGGAAACATCAATGATGAGAGAATCATTGATCGGCTGCCTCCTGCATGCCCCACACTAGGGATCGAGCCCTCAACCCGGGCATATGCCCTTACTGGTAATCAAACCATGACCTCCTGATTCACAGGTCAATGCTCAACCACTGATCCACACCAGTTGGGCATAAAAAAACAAATTTTAATGAGCAAGCTATTTTAAAGATAGATTTCTTATGGATTCAGTTAGATGTCAGCAGCTTAAGCTAAGAAAAGAAATCTTATTATATCCAAATATTTCTGTTATTTCTAACTCAACAGTTGTCATACCTTTTAAGAGAAACCAAAGAGAAATGTCTTAGCAGTGAGATAAAACAATCACAGAAAAATGTGAGTCATAAAATATTTATAATCAATATTTTGAGATGATTTTAAAAGAAGATTCTTTCTTTGACACTACAATTTATGAAGGTTTATGAAAGCTTCCTATTTACAGTGCACTGAATATATCTAAGATATAGGTATATCTAAGTTTATCTTAAACTTATAGTACCTTTCTCTGCTGCCTTTTGAAGGGCTTCTTCAATTCGGGATAGCTCTTTCTGTTTAATATCTTGCAAAGACTTTTCTTCTTTTTCAGCATCATATTTAATACCTAAAAATAGTTAATTCACAAATAAAGAAATCCAATTAATAAATAGGAAAAGTTCAGTCTCATGAGTGTGTGTGTGTGATGTGTCATTTTTTTTAAGTAAAAGAACAGTTATAGACTTTAGATTAGTTTTACAAAAAGTTTAACGATAAGTGATTTCTATTTATTTACAAACTTATATCAAAAAGGAAAGGAGGGAAGAATGAAATTAAAAGGGAGGAAAAAAGATATGAAAAATGATAAGTGCGGAAAAGGTGAATAGAAAAGTAAAAGAGAGAAGCAGGGGGAGGGCAGAAAATACATCAGAAAATGTCCAGTTATTATATCTGAGTGGTAAAATTTTAACTACAAAAAACATGCAATATCTAATATCAGCTGGTATTAGTACAAATTGATAAGAAGACTTACAGAAAGTAAAAATATGAATCAATATCAACAATCATGAGTATATATATCCTTTTTATCTAGTAATCTCATTTCTGATCATGTATCCTAACAAAAGAATTAAAAAAGGCACTGTAATAGCAAAAACAGCAGGCAGCCCACAATGAAATATCATACAGCCTTTCAAAACTGTCACCATCATCATGAAAACTTAAACATATCAAAGTATATAAAGTAAAAAAGCCAGATCCATGTTGTATATAATGTGATAAATGCTATATCAAATGAAGTATGTATGTGGTAAAGACTGGAAAGCAAAAAAGAAAAAAAAATTCGTTTGTTTTATGGTTGAGAAAATATAACAATTTTTCCCTAAAATATCCAGACTGTCCTTAACATTATATTGTTCTTATAACTAAAAAAACATTAGTAATGAAAGGTATTACTTAAATAAACACCACTGCTTTATAACATTCATTAAAATATTAAAATACTATAATTTATAATTTAAGAATTACATACAGTTGTTTTACATACATTTTTGAGAGAATATTCATTCAAAATCAGAAGCAACAAAATGGGGGAAAATTTTTTCCAATATTGAAATCTATAGATCAGTGATGGCAAACCTATGGCACGCGTGTCAGAGGTGACACGCGAACTCATTTTTTTGGTCGATTTTTCTTTGTTAAATGGCATTTAAATATATAAAATAAATATCAAAAATATAAGTCTTTGTTTTACTATGGTTGCAAATATCAAAAAATTTCTATATGTGACACGGCAACAGAGTTAAGTTAGGGTTTTTCAAAATGCTGACACGCCGAGCTCAAAAGGTTCGCCATCACTGCTATAGATTAACACATCAGTGCATTTTTAAAATCTCACTTCATTTCATTCCCCCAGCATAAATCTGCCTAATCCATCTTAACTTAATAGAAAGCCTTAGCTGCAAAATAATTATTCATATAGAATAGAATCAATCTAACAAATGATTTAAATTATTCTTTCCAACAACTAGAGGCCCGGCGCACAGGATTCATGCACTGGTGGCGGGCGTGGCTTGCAGGATTGGCCCACTGTGGGACTGCCGCTCATCCCGGTCAGCAGAGCAGCTGTGGACCCGCCCTCTGAGCGGCTGCTCCTGCTGTGGGAGCACCGCTCATCCTGGTCAGCCAAGCGGCATGCACTGACCACCAGGGGGCAGCTCCTGTGTTGAGCATCTGCCCCCTGGTGGTCAGTGCATGTCATAGCAACTAGTCAACCAGTCATTCTGGTCGTCCCAGTTTGGTTGCTAGGCTTTTACTATATAGGATACAAATGTGGTAATATATATATGTGGGTGTATATGTAAAATGTATGTAGTTATGTGCATATGTATGTATATGATTAGTTTATTTAAATTATCTTCTATTTTACTAAACATATAAAATAGTTAACCCAGGTCACATTCCATTTCACTGTGATATTACTGAATGATTACAGACTAAAATAGCATACTTGCTCCAGGAACAACAAGCAGGTATAATCCTTCCAGAGTTGCAACAACTGCTTCTCCATAAAGATTCTTCCAAGGAATCTTCAAAGTTAATTTATCTGAAGAAACATAATTTCAAATTTAAATTCTTATTTGGCTGCTCAAAAAGATAAACATTTCTCACTTTCCATTAAGAGGAAAAAGTATAACAAGACCATTCATGCATATAGTAAGTATATCATTCAGAAAAAAAAAATGAAAAAATTTCAACATTAAAGTTTACAAAGATCTTTTCCATATTATATTACTTTTAGAAGGGACTATTTACATTATGCTTTATACTTTTCAAACTTTGGTAACTATTATTTTATTTAATATTCCAATTGTAAGAAGAATGAGACAGCTATTACTTCAGAAAAAAAAAAAGAAAGGAAGGAAGGAAACTCAGTGCCCGAGTTACTTGCCTAAGACCACCAAAGTCATCAGTGAGGATGCCAGAACCAGACATTTCTCATAGCACTTTTTTTTTCTGATATATTTTCTCAGGCAAGGGAAACAAAAGAAAAACAAAGAAATGGGACTACCTCAAACTAAAAAGTTTTTGCACAGCAAAGAAAACATCAACAAAACAAAAAGGGAACCCACGGTATGGGAGAACGTATTTGCCAATGATTCATCTGATAAGGGGTTAATTTTCAAAAGAACTAATACAACTCAATACCAGAGAAACAAACAATCCAATTTAAAAAATGGGCAAAGGACCTAAATAAACACTTCTCCAAAGAAGACATATGGATGGTCAATGGACATGAAAAAATGCTCAAGGTCACTAATCATCACAGCAATATAAATTATAATTACAATGAGGTATCACCTCACACCTGTCAGCATAGCTACTATCAATAAATCAACGAACAAGTGCTGGTGAGGATGTGGAAAAAAGAGAACACTTGTGCACTGTTGGTAGGAATGCAGACTGGTGCAGCCACTGTGGAAAGCAGTATGGTGTTACCCAAAAAATTCAAACTTCCTTATCACCCAGCTATTCCACTTCTGGGAATTTATCCAAAGAAACCTGAAACACTAATTCAAAAAAATATATGCACCCCTATGTTCATTGCAGCTTTATTTACAATAGCCAAGATACGAAAGTAGCCAGTAGATGAGTGGATAAAAAAGCTGTGGTACATTTACACAATGAAATACTACTGGGCCATGAAAAAGAAGGAAATCTTACCCTTGTGTCAACATGAATAGACTTGGAGAGTATTATGCTAAGTGAAATAAGCCAGTCAGAAAAAGACAAGTATCATGTGATTTCACTCATATGTGGAATCTAATGAACAAAATAGACTAACAAGCAAAATAGAAATAGATTCATAGATGAAGTACAGGCTGACAGCTGTCAGGGTGAGGAGATTAGGGGTTAGGAGGCTGGGTGGGAGGGATAGAGCAAAAAAAGATGGATAAATACATAAAAATTGTTTTCAAAATATCCTTCCCTTTTAGAGGGTAAATCTCTAGCCTACTGTCAAAATCTTCAAAGTATATATGTATTACCACATAATATATATTAGGTTAAGAACTACAAAAGCTGTCATCAACATAACCAAAAAAACTCTCACATTTTTATTCAAAGTTCTAAAAAAAAAAAAAAGATGTTTTAGATTAAATAACACAGGAAAAATAAAACTAAAAGGACTAAAAATAAGTCAAATGAAGAGTGAAGTGCTTACCAATTTGGCCAGCCTTGACTTTAAAAGGAACATCCAATTCACTCTACAGAGAAGAAAAACATTTAAAAGACATCTTAAATTATTAAAACTCTCCAGAAAAATCACCTCTGTATCACTGCTTAAATACACAACCATCTCTAAGGAAAAACATGAAATAAATGTTCTATATTTAAATAACTCATAAAGGGTGTTTTATGGCTGAAACAAATAGTTTTTATTAACTTAAACTTTGACTTTGAAGAAAGAATTCATGAGGAAAAAAATTATAAATAGAAACAATAGAAAAAGAGTTCGTAGTTAAAGAAAGCAATTAAGTTATCTAATTGTTTTAATAAACCAAACCAAGCCAGATGGAAATTTCATAAACTCTTAAAATAATAGATGAATGAACACTGTTTATCTGAAATACCAGAATAGGAAGAATTCTTTCACATAAATAAGTTGAAATAAATAACCAATTCTCTCTCAAATAAGATATTTAATAAATGAATAAATAAAACAACCTTAAAAGGAAAGGCAGCTTCCCAGGATAGTGTTTACCAAATTAGCATTTACATTAGATTACTGACAATTACCAGTCAATAATAATAAAATTTCACTTTCTAGATTCCAAACCACTGGAAAGTACAAATAACTTTCTTATGCACAGAGTACTAAACAATAACTGATATTCACAATGATCACTTGAGTTCTTATAATTACTAAAAATTGAACCAATGACAGTAGCCTTTCTGTTAGATATACCTTAGTATATGCTAATACGGTGGAACCTCAGTTCTCAAACTTAATTCATTCCAGAAGGCTGTTTGAGAAGTAATTTATTCAAAAATTGAATCATTCTTTCCCATCAGAAATAATGTACATTGAATTAATTCATTCCAGATCCTCAAATGATTCCATTTTAACCTTTCTTAAATACATCTTTCTTAAATACATCTCTAATGTACTGTTTAATCTATAAACAAACACTTCTTTTCTTAAATTTAACAAATCATCCACTACTAGCCTTAAACAAATCACTTTCAGCACTAATTCTAGGGGTGTCTTTCAGGAGGTCAGTACACAGCATCTTCTCTTGCTGTCACTGGCTAACTGCTTTTTGTTTATCCCAATCAACAACAGTTTTCTACCTCTTCAATTGCCTGTAATCATGGTTTCTTTCATACCATTAGCAATGTCAGCACTCTTTTTTTTAATATAGTTTATTGATTTTTTACAGAGAGGAAGGGAGAGGGATAGAGAGTTAGAAACATCGATCAGTTGCCTACTGCACACCTCCTACTGGGTATGTGCCCACAACCAAAGTACATGGCCTTGACTGGGATCGAACCTGGGACCTTTCAGTCCGCAGGCCGATGCTCTATCCACTGAGCCAAACCGGCACTCTTGATGGCCTCTTTATGTTTTAAAATTGTGCTAATTGTCCATTTCACCAGCAACAAAAGCAAACACACACACACACACACACACACACACACACACACACCCCATATATTCACAACACAAATTCCTGAGATGTTAGCTTATGACTTAGATGCATTCTCTCCTTTGTTTGTGGCCTGAGAGATGCTTTTTGTCATGCTGATGTATCAGCATGAAAGGGCTGTCAGGTAGAAAACTGGAGCTTGTTCAACAACCTAGACATTTTTTCTGTGAACAACTTGGTCGAGAACCTAATTGTTCCAGATGGGAGACGTTCAAGAACTGAAGTTTAACTGTACTATCAAAATCTGGCGAATGAGCCCTAGCTGGTTTGGCTCAGTGGATAGAGCGTTGGCCTTCTGACTGAAGGGTTCTGGTCAAGGGCACATGCCTGGGTTGCCAGCTCAATCCCCAGTAGGGGGTGTGCAGGAGGCAGCTGATCAATGATTCTCTCTCATTATTGATGTTTCTATCTCTCTCTCCCTCCAGCTCTGAAATCAATAAAAAAAATACATATTTTTTAAATCTGGCAAATGAAATGCAGTACTTTAGTTAACAATTAACTAAAATAGTCAATTTACCCGATCTCTGATTGCTCAAGCATTCTAGGTGAACAGGAACTGAACAGAATACTAATAGTTTTCGATAAAAAGTCTTTTTCTTGACAAAAAACAAAATCCTTACTCATGATAAAGGAGCAGCTCTACCCTTGGGGGATAGGGAGAATAAATTTATATGAATTGATATTATAGAGGATACAAACTATAAACTAAACACTTCTAAAAGTGTGGCCTCATGCTCATAGTAATCTCCCTGAAATAATTTCTCACACAAAATAAGTGTAAAGGATCCATATTAAAGCAAAACCTCACCAATATGGTTTATTTGCAATTTAAATTAAGGGAGAATATAAATTACAAAATACTTTATTATATTTAATTACAACCAAAATTCAAATTAAGCTAACACAGAGTTCACATCAATTCTATGTATGTTAGATATATATCCTGTCACCACAACTCTATTTATACTTATTTCCTTCTAAAATAAAGAGAAAAATAAGCTTTAATGCAATCACTAGCAATAGAATCTTAATTTCTAAATTTTGGGATAAATTTTAAAAAGTTGGCCCAGTGATTAAGTGTCAACCTATGAACCAGGAAGTCACGGTCCGATTCCTCATCAGGGCATATGCCCGGGTTGTGGGCTCAATACCCTGTGGCAGCTGTGCAGGAGGCAGCAGATCAATGATTACCATCACTGATGTTTCCACCACTCTCTCCCTCTCCCTTCCTCTCTCTGAAGTCAATAAAAATATTTTTTTAAAGTTGTAGCACCCTATATAAAGGGAGGGAAAGAACATTTAAATGGTTTGAATGCCCACTACTTGCCAGGCTCACTTTCCATCTTACTCAAGCCACAAAGGCAGAGAGATATTACGTTGTTTTATAATACTACTCCACTTAAAAGATGATTAAACTAATGCTCAAAAAAATTTAGAAACTTGCCAAAAGACATACAGCTGGTAAAAGGCAGAGCCAGCACTCAAACCCAGATCTTCGGACTACAAGGTCCATGCCCTTTCCACTATGCCAAACTTAACAAAATGTAATGTTACTCCTTGTGAGAGAGTTCTACTCCTAGGATCTTCAATATCCCAAATTTCCCTCGGACCAGTCATGGGAGCATTTAATGCATAATGCTCTCCCTAATAACGCATTTCATCGTGTAGAAATCCAACCAGAAGTCAGACAAAACTTTAAAACATTCAACAGATTAATTAGAAATATGACCTATTAATTAAAGGATAAAATCATTCTTCAGTGATTTCATAAACTCAAATTAAGTCTAATATTTTAGCTAAAGCTTCACAGGGGGTAGAGGATTGAGAGAATGGGGAGAGTGTTGTTTTGTTTTCAGCTCAATAGTAAATGACACAAACTACTCTCGGGAAGCTAGAGTCTGAAAAAAATATATTTTACCTCTTTTTTTTATCTTAAAGAGAGAGAAACATCAATCAGTTGCCTCCTGCATGAGCCCCCGACCTGGGACCAAACTGCACCTGGGCATGTTTCCCTGACCAGAAACAGAATCCACCACCTTATGTTGTACAGGATGACGCTCCAACCACCAGATCCACACCAGCCACGGCTATTTTATCCCTTAATGTTACCATAATATTATATGGCTGAACTTGAAAATATTTCCAAAAATACAATTATTCATTAGATTAAATTGTTAAAAGCAAGGTCTTATTTACCTGAAAAATATGCAAAGATATTTCTGAAGACAAAGGCCTACTACAAAGCTATATAGTCAAATTAGGTCAATGAAAAATATTCTGTTGACAAGAGATACCATATTGATCATCAGGGGGAAAAGTTCTAAATCTTAATCTCAGATTTTCCTACTGCAAATAATTAAACAAGCAATCCTTCTTTGAGTGACTCAACCACTTTATCTGGCACCTGGTACCAGATACTTACTAACCAAGGGTTTCTAAGAGCTTACCAAATTAAATGAGTAATTAACATAATTAAAAAACTTACCAGAGCATTTTCTTTTATCTTTAGATTATCTAAAGCCACATTACCTTTAAAAAAAGAAGAAAAATATAGTTAATATACTAATAAGTAAAACCTGTCATAAAACCTGTCATATGGCAGTACTAACTACTACACTAAGTGCTAAGAAGACAATAGTGAGCAAAGCAAACTTTAAGAACTTAAAAAGCTATTAGCACAAAAGATTTGCTATATGTGCATAGGAATTATTGATTATAGCATACTTTAGATTAGTCCAATGCAAAAAAAATTACAAAATACTTAAACTGCCTAACATTTAAATAGACAATGAGAAAGAATTTGGAAACTTTCAGCCTAAAGAACAAAAGAAAGTATCCATCATTTTGAATAATTTATTCAAAATCTCAAAACAAGGACATAAAGAGATGACTACTAGAACAGATCAATTATTTATCCTCCAATTCAGGATTCTTTAATTATGTTGCCAATGAATATTTTCTATAGAAATATGGTTTTAGTCTTTTAAAACTCCAAACATCCCACCTTTCCAATGATTTTTGTTTGCGGTTCTAACATACTTTAATTAATCTAATTTTTCTTAAATCTATTCAGTTACAAAAATTAAAGCCATAATGATACTGTTACATTATTCAAATTTTAAACACTGTACCTATATCTGTCAATACACAATACTTAAATATTCTTGCTTACATAGAAATGTAAGCAAAAGTATTCATTTCACTCAAATCTCTAAATGTTGATAAAACTAGTGTCAACATTAAATGCAATCATAAATTCTTCAGTTATACATTCTTAATCACTTACTATGCATTTATTTTGAACAAATACTATGCTTCCTATGTTCTCCATAAATATTTTTCAATCAAGTAATTTTTTCCTCATAGCATTTTGGAGTGAATTAAAAATATATTTAATTTTATTACTCCATTGTTAGAAATTTGCTTTTCCCCAGACCTCAGATTTACTCAAACATTTATTAAGCACCTACTCTGAGTTAGGTGCTAGAAAGAAAGAGGTTATTAGAACAACATCCCTTCTACTGAGGAGCTCACAGCCTAGCAAAGGAGATTAAATTTCTAAAATTTTGCAACTATTCTATTGGCATTCCAACAGAAGAGTTTACAGGATGCAAAGCAGGAACCACCTCACACTGCCAAGGGAGATCCAAAACTTCACACGAAAGTTTAGGCTAGAAAACTGAAGAAATATTTACCAGGTGGATAAGAAAAGAGAGCAAACAGACATCCATGAGTAAGACATTTTAGAAACCACAAGCAAAGGTCTGGTTAGTGTAGAGTGTGGGAAAAGAATAAGAGGTAGCCCAGCTGTGGTGGCTGAGTGGTTGAGCGTCAGCCTGTGAATCCAGGAGGACACGGTTAGATTCTCCAACAGGGCACATGCCTGGGTTGCAGGCTTGATCCCCATGGGGGGGGGTATGCAGGAGGCAGCGGAGCGATGATTCTCTCTTATCATTGATGTTTCTCTCTCTCTCTCGCTCCCTCTCCCGTCCTCTCTGAAATCAATAAAAATATATATTAAAAAAAGAATAAGTGATAAAGTCAAAAAGGCTAGCACAGGATAGACCAAGAGTTTTTAGGATGAAAAGCTCAGGCTGGTCACAACAAACAGATGAAGTATGTATAACTGAAATGATAAAATCAGAGCTATGTTTTAGAATCACTGCTTTAGTATCCTCAGAAATAACCATGAAACTGTCCAAATAATTTAGCTACAAGGATATTGTAATACTGGTTATAATAGCAGAAAGAATGGATGGATGGATAGGAAGGAGGGAAGAAGGGCCTAAAGAACTAAATGTCCAGGAAGAAGGCATATATTCTAATAATAAAAGTGTAATGTGCTAATTAGACCGGACAAAGCCAGGGCTGCGAGGGAAGCCCGGGTCCCGGGTGCCAGAGGGAAGCCAGTGCCAGCAGCTGGGGGAAGGAAGGCCTACTCTTGCACGAATTTGGTGCATCGGGCCTTTAGTAAATCTATAATATAGAAAAAAAATAAGGCAGACATGGATAAATGTTCACAAAATATTAAGTTTTTTAAAAAGGTTAAAGAATGCCCACATTAACCCAATTTAAAAATTATATATATACACACAGAAAACAAACAACTATAAGACTAGACACTATAATGATTACAGTGGTTATTTCCATATAATAAAGTTCACTTTCTGTGTATATGTATATTTAAGTCTTCCTAAAATAAATTATTGAAAATTGCAATAAAAGGAGAGAAGGACGAAATGGGAAGAAAATACTACAGCATTATATAACAAGAGGAAAGGAAAAGAATACAGGTAGTCAGGTAGCTTCTACAATACACTGAAAACAAATTAAAACCTGAAATAGGCAATAACTTCAGGGTTGAAGAGGTAGAGTAAAATGTTATTTTGGAAGTAGAACTAACTAAGATGTCATCACTGACCAAATGAAAGGATAATGAAGTAATCATGGAAAACCAATAAGTGTTTGGGAACTGGGGAAGAGAATCCTTACGAATTATCTTATGTACTAAACAACATAAAATTAAAAAAATATTCTTGGACTTAATTCTTTCAGATGAATTAAAAAAAATTATAATTGCAAACTCAATTCAAATCAAAAGGGATCTGCACCGATGCTAGTACAAATATGAAAGCAATCCAAACTAGTTTAACAAGATCTAAGGCCCATATGGAGATTTTCAAACTTGCTCATTAATTTTGACTGTTCTACCCAGTGATACTCAACTAGTGGGTCAAGTGTCACCAGAAGTGCTCAAAAGTAATCTGCATTACATATGAAGTGGGGTTTTTTTTTAACAATTGTTAAGGCACTAACATCTACACTAATAAAAGAGAAACATGGTAACTGGCATACGACCGCTACCCTTCCCATTGGCTAATCAGGGCAATATGCAAATTAACTGTCAGCCAAGATGGCGGCCGGCAGCCAGGCAGCTTGAAACTAACATGAGGCTTGCTTGCTTCAGTGACGGAGGACTCCAACATTCCCCGCCACCCCGCTGCAGGCCTCTGAGCCTGCAGTTTGAAACATTGTAACAAATATAGACGCCCAGAAACCAGCTTTCAGCCGGCTGGGATCTCAGAGATGGAGTTGATACAGAGTTTTGAGAACCGAAACAAACCAGATACTAAGAGCTGGAGCCTCAGAGCTAAAGCTGGCCCAGAATAAAAAAAGAAAAAAGAAAAAAAGGAGCAGTTGGGAGCTTCAGTCACCCACCAGCCTGTAAACAGCCCTCAGCCCCTCACCCAGACTGGCCAGGCACCCCAGTGGGGACCCCACCCTGAAGGGTATGTGACCAGCTGCAAACAGCCATCATCCCCTCATCCAGGCTGGCCAGGCACCCCAGTGGGGACCCCCACCCTGATCCAGGACACCCTTCAGGGCAAACCAGCCAGCCCCCACCCGTGCACCAGGCCAACACCCTGATCGGCCCTGCTCTGTGGGTGATAGAGGGCGGCGCCCCAACCCCCTGATCCGCCCTGCTCTGTGTGTGACAGGGGGTGGTGTGCCAACTCCCCTATTGGCCCTACTCTGTGAGTGACAGGAGGGAGCTCCTCAACCCCCTGATGGGCCCTGCTCTGTGCGTGACGGGGGGAGATCCCCAACCCCCTGATCGGCCCTGCTCTGTGACAGGGGGCAGCGTCCCAACCCCCTGATTGGCCCTGCTCTGTGCGTGACAGGGGGGAGCTCCCCAACCCCCTGATGGGCCCTGCTCTGTGCATGACAGGGTACGGAGCCCCAACCCCCTGATTGGCCCTGCTCTGTGCGTGACAGGGGTGGCGCCGAAACCTCCCCATCGACCCTGCCTTGAATGTGACAGGGGTCGGTGCCCAAACCCCCCAATCGGCCCTACCCTGAGCGTGACTGAGGGTGGCATCACAACCTCCCAATCCGCCCTGCTCTGTGCATGACAGGGTGTGGCGCCCCAACTCCCCAATCGGCCCTGCTCTGAGCCCGACCAGGGGCTGCACCTAGGGATTGGGCCTGCCCTCTGCCACCCGGGAGCAGGCCTAAGCCAGCAGGTCGTTATCTCCCGAGGGGTCCCAGACTGCGAAAGGGCACAGGCCTGGCTGAGGGACCCCCCCACCCCCCCGAGTTCACAAATTTTTGTGCGCCAGGCCTCTAGTCTATATATATAAAGAGCCAGGGGCCATCACATCCGAAACCGAATGGACGACCAAACAGGCTGAGTGGGGCGACAAAGCCAGCAGGGGGGTTAGTGAGGGACAACCAAACGACTGAACAGCAGGCTGCATGGGGCGACCAGGCTGGCGAGGGGGGTGTGGGGGCAGTGAGGGGTGACCAGGCCAGAGGGAGGGGGGTGTGCAGTTAGGGGTGATCAGGCCGACAGATAGAGGCAGTTATGGGCGATTAGGCAGGCAAGCAGATGAGCAGTTAGGAGCCAGCGGTTCTGGATTGTGAGAGGGATGTCTGACTGCCGGTTTAGGCCCGATCCCCAAGAGGGGTCCCAGGTTGGAGAGGGTGCAGACTGGGCTGAGGGGACGCCCCCCTCCCCCCGTGCATGAATTTAGTGCACCGGGCCTCTAGTAATTTGTATAAAAATATAAATGTCCTTATAAAATGTGGGCTGCTTCTACTGCTGTGGCACTTTGGTTCTTTAATATATAGATGGTATTTAAGATATGAAATACTGAAAACTACTAATATGGCTAACAGTTAAACAAGTATATTTAGAAAAACAACAAAAAGATAATATGGCTAGGAGGTAGAACTTAAGGTTTTTTTTTTTATTAATGTTTTTCACTGTTTTCTAGTTTTTATAATAATCAGATATTTTTTAATGTTAAAATATTATACAAATTATAGTAAGAAGTGAGGAAACAGCCCGCTGGTATGGCTCAGAAGTTGAATGTGGACCTATGAACTAGGAGATCATAGTTTGATTCCTGATCAGGGCACATGCCCAGATTGTGGGCTCCATCCCCAATAGGGGGCATGCAGGAGGCAGCGGATCAATGATCCTCTTTCAGCACTGATGTATCTATCTCTCCCTTTCCCTTCCTCTC